CAGCTCGGGACTGGAGGTGGATGGGTGATGGGGGGGGGCACGGGGACAAGGGACAGGGCAGGGTGGGGTGAGAGGGGATGGAATGGTGGCAGGATGGGACAGGGGTGGGAGAGGACAAGGGCAGGACAGGGGGACAGTGGTGAGATGGGCTAGTGGCTGGATGGGATGATGGTGGGATGGGGTGGACAGCGGTGGTGGGATGAGATGGTGGCTGGATGGGATTGTGGTGGGATGGGATTGTGGTGGGGTGATGGTGATGATGGGACAGGATGGGTGGTGCTGGGCTGAGCTAGGCCAGTGACAAGACACAACAGTGACACGATGGTGTGGTGGACTGGGATGAGCGGTGGGATGAGCTGATGGGATGGTGGTGGGATGGGATGGTGGCTGGATGAGATGGTGCAGCGGGATGGGATGGTGGTGGGATGGGATGACAATGGTGGGATGGGATGACAGTGGTGGGATGGGATGGTGGCTGGATGGGATGGGATGACAACAGTGAGATGGGATGGTGGCAGGATGACAATGGTGGGGTGGGGTGGGGGGGGGGCAAGACACAACAGTGACACGATGGTGTGGTGGACTGGGATGAGCGGTGGGATGGGATGGGATGACAATGGTGGGATGGGATGGTGGCTGGATGAGATGACAGTGGTGGGATGGGATGCTTGCTGGATGAGATGGTGCAGTGGGATGGGATGGTGGTGGGATGGGATGACAATGGTGGGATGGGATGGAGGCTGGGTGGGATGACAATGGTGGGATGGGATGACAGTGGTGGGATGGGATGGTGGCTGGATGGGACAGGACAGTGGCAAAAGGATGGTGGTGGGTTCACCTGACGGTGGTGGCTGGATGACAATGGTGGTGGCACGGCAATGGTGGGATGGAATGGTGGCTGGGTGGGATGGTGGTAGGATGACAATGGTGGGATGGGATGACAATGGTGGGATGGGATGGTGGCTGGATGAGATGACAGTGGTGGGATGGGATGCTTGCTGGATGAGATGGTGCAGTGGGATGGGATGGTGGTGGGATGGGATGACAATGGTGGGATGGGATGGAGGCTGGGTGGGATGACAATGGTGGGATGGGATGACAGTGGTGGGATGGGATGGTGGCTGGATGGGACAGGACAGTGGCAAAAGGATGGTGGTGGGTTCACCTGACGGTGGTGGGTTCAGCTGACAGTGGTGGGGTGGGACAGTGGTAGGACAGCCTGGTGTGGTGGTGGGAAGGGATGGAGACGGCACGGAGGGGCACCCACCGTCCCACCACCCCTACACCCTTGTGGGTCACCCCAACTCCCCCGACACCCCCAGGACCAGAGGAGACCCCCCACCACCACTCACTTGACGTTGAAGACCATCAGCGGCCGCTCCTCCCGCTTCTGCCAGGGGCTTTTCCGGTCGCCCCCATCGTCCCCCCCCTCGCCCCCCTCGGCCAACGCCTCCTCCTCGGGGCTGGTCAGGGAGTCCCGGGGGGCTTCGCTGGCGCTGCT